TAGAATCTACTCACCACAGGGCTGAAATTGCTTGCTCACGAATGCTCTCATTTTAACACACGAAGTGTAGACATTGTGAAAGATTCATTGTGCATATGTTCATTGTGTTATAACATAGCTGTAAATTTCTTTGATGTGCTGAAAAACAAATCTATATATAGATTACTTTTATGCTGGCTTTTGCGGGCGGGCGGGAGCGGGCCCAGATAAGGTATTTTTCTACGGGAGCGGGACAGAATCTTGCGGGAGCATTGTGATTGGATATTTACACTGTCAAAACAGGAGACAAACCAATGGGCCACTGGCTGCTCGCTGTCCCTCTCAAGCTTCTAGTTTGGTTTCTTTCGTTCTTTTGATTTTGTCTTTGCCCAGTTTGTATTCTAGTTATTGATTCCTAGAATTTGCCTTTTTGGTTCTTTTTGTTTTATTTGCTCTCTGCAGTTTGTTTCTTTGTTTTTTTTTTCATTCTAGTCGGTGTGTAGTCAGTGTTATTTTGCTGCTGCTTGTTCTCTCTTGTGATCTTGTCGTGTTATGTCTTGTGGTTGTTCCTGTTCTGTGTCCTGAATCCCTCCTGGCTGCTGTTCTTTAGACCTGGCTATCTGACGGGACTGGTATCACTACAGCTCCAGTTTCTCAGGCTGCTGCCTGATATCCAGTGTTCTCATTGACTGGGGCTGCTCCATCTTCTTTGTTCTCCAGCAAGACTTTGTTCAGGTCTGACCAAGGACCATCAGACTGCCCCTTCCTACTGTTTGGACTCTCACATCATCCCATTCGTTCCTTGTCTTGTCAATAAACCTCACTCCCTTGATCATTCTGCATCTGGGTCTTTCTCTCTCTAGTAAACTGCTGTGACAAAACCTTGACAGAACGAACCAGCCATCACCAGACCCAGCAGCAATGAGCATCCATATAGTTCCTCCCGGTACCGCCAAGGAGAGACAGGCATTCCAGCAGGCAGTGACATCGCTCCGCCAGCAGGGCCGGGATGTGCGTTCATTTGCCCAGTTCTTCTGGACCATGGCAAGGAGCCTGGAGTGCCCAGATTAAACCCTTAAAGAGGCATTCAATCTCTGCCATACCACAATGGGAGATGGAGCAACTAAGGATCCTAGACTATTGGAACTTTTCCAATTATCTGCACCACCGCAAAGACATTATTATTATTATTATTATTTTCAATACAACAATTGTTTTGTTCAGACCAATGTGAAAAACGACCCATGTTTTTACTCTGCAAGCACGCAGAGCTTTAAATGTGAATTGGGGGATCGATAAGAAGATAATGCATTTAAAAAATCTAAACATAGGGGGTGTGCGGTATATATGGTCTGCGATAATATCGTAATTGTTGTTTTAGCAATGTGTGATTTGATATGAGTATATCGCGAAAAGCAAACACAAAACACCTACAGAGTGTGTGCATACATTAGATGAAGTCTAGCAGGTTAGACTAGTACGCATGTGCATTTATAGTGCGTTCTTTCATTGCATTAATCAGTCTATTCAAATGCATTTAGACTTATCACAATTTAAGATATGGGCCAGGAAATGTATATATTTATATAATTTCATATAGTTAGTCACACGAAGAGTGCCGTTTTTTTTTCTCCAAAAGTAAGCATGATTACAAATGTGATATTGATTTTATACAACAGTTCAATAAACAAATAGTTAATATTAAGATACTTACGTTTTAGACACCATATTTCCTGTTTTTTCTCTATTTCTCCAACAAAAATCATTCCAAACACAGCCACAGAGCTGTTTTGTGTCTCTGAGCAACAAGATGGTGTTTTGTTCCTGAATGAATCAACCGTTTAAATGAGTCGGTTCAATCGCAGTGACTCACGTATTACAGTTTTTTTCAACTGCTTACACACCAAATCTTTACTTGTCACACAATTTCTGAAACCTGACACTCAAACAGCAGAAGCACACACCAAATCTGCAAAACCATACGCTAATTTTTGGACTTTGACTCAGTTTTCAATTTCATAAAACACTTTTTGCAAAACACAACACACAATTCTCTATGTAACACACAAATATGTAACAGGAAGTATCTTGATTTCCTTTTTCAAACACAACCAATCAAAATGCCACTCTAATTCATCAGCGCCTCACACTAACTCCTCACATGTGCAAACACTCATTGCTTTACTTAACACCAACCAATCATGGCTTTAGAATAGGCCTATAAATAGGCCAAAGGTAAAGTTATAGGTTTTGAACAATGGATGCAAACAATGCAGGCCAAAGGTCAAGTTATAGGTTTTGAACAATGGATGCAAACAATGCGGACAGCGTAAGGGGAGTTGGAGGGAGAGCCAGACGACGAGGCAGAGTTTGAGTTAGAGGAGGAGTTCAAAGAGGAGCAAGAGGAGGAGTTGTAAGAGGAGGAAGAGGACGAGTCGGACAGGGAAGAGGAGGAGGACAAAGACCAGGAACAAGAAGAGTGGTCTCTGATGAGATTAGGGCTACTATCATTGATCATGTGATCAACCATGGTTCATGATATGCTTGTTCAAGGCCTGCAGAACGAAGACCAGGCAAGATTTGTCATCATCTGGGATAATGTCAGCTTTCATCGCGCCCATCAGGTCCAAAACTGGTTTGTTACTCATACCCATTTTTCTGTTGTCTACCTGCCTCCATATTCACCATTTCTAAACCCTATAGAGGAATTTTTCTCCACATGGCGCTGGAAAGTGTATGATCGTCATCCCTATGTCAACATGACAATTCTCCAGGCAATGGAGGAGGCATGTGGAGACATTGATGCTGCCTCCATCCAAGGTTGGATACGCCATACAAGGAGGTTCTTTCCACGGTGTCTGGCAAGAGAGAACATGGCATGTGACGTGGATGAAGTATTGTGGCCGGACCCAGCCCGGAGGAGGGATTGAGCCTAGATGCATCCAACCATCACACACACACAATTCCTTTGAAATAATCATCTTTTTTCAAAATTCTGTTTGGATTCTGTCTACATTGTTGTATTTTCTTTTCTCTAGTACTGTATTCACAACCACAAATGCTTACAGTAAAAAAAATAAATAGCTTGGTTTCAATCTTGCTTTCGTGTTTGCTGTGAATTTTTCAAAATCTGACAATTACTTTCGATCTTGTACAGAAATGTCCATAGGAGCTCATGAAAGAGCTTTAGGTTGAATTAGTGTGTGTGTATATGACCTATCCAAAAATATATTATTATTATGGCAAAAGTGTTTGCAACGTAAGACAGATGTTTGCTTTTGAGATGTGTCTGTGATCGTTTGAATGCAGTGCTTCATTTTGCAAGCGATGTGTTTAGCATTTTGTGTGTGCAATTCTTGGATTTGTGTGTTAAGTTTTGAAAAAAAAGAGGTAAAGTTTAGAAAATGTGTGTAAGCAGTTGAGAAAAACGGTGACTTGCTGCCGCCTACTGGTGGTTTTAATTTCACATTTAAGGTACCTTTTTGTTTTTATCAAACATCAGTTTTCAATGTTTTATGTTTAAAATATAAAAACATTATTTATGCATTTGTAACTGCAGGTTAAAGTATCCCATGTCCCTCAGAGCTGCATTAAAAAGTGTGTAAATGCATCTAAATGGCACTTCTAATGCAGCTTCTGTGTTTCCTCTGCATTGCAAAGATACATTTTGTTGATACTGTTTTAATTTGCTTGGTAACAGCCCAAATGCAAAAAAAATAAATATGACTCAAAAGATGGTGCACACTTTTAGAAAAAATGGCTTAAAGGTAAAAATGCCCATAAAACCTGTTGGAACTTATTAATTTATATTACTGCTGTGAACTGACCACACAGAATATGAAGAATATCAAAAAATTCAGGAGTCAGCTGTTAACGGTAGTCCTTAAGATATCAGCACAATAACACACTCAGCAAAATATCGTCAAATTATCATTACCGATAAAATCCCAGAATATTATCAAGATATAATTTTTTGTCAATATCGCACAGACCTAATTTGTTATTTAATTGAAATTATAATTTATTGATAATAATAGTTTAAATTAATATAATAATTAATACTTTTGACTCATCCATTTTCTTTAAAGTGGTTCAAAGGCTGAAATGTAAAGTTTATCATTTTACAAAACTTTTTGTTTTTGTAAAAACATGTATCTGAACTGTAAATTATGCTTTTTACAGTAATTTTACAGTTTAATATGTTACTATAGACATTGCCCTACCCCTCTCATATGGTATTTATTTTATTTGTGCAGGTCTTAAAAAGTCTTAAATTTGAGCTTAAAAATTTTAGAAAACGTTGTTTTTATGAAAACTTATCTGAACTGTAAATGATGCTTTTTACAGAAATTACAGTTTAATATGATACTATAGACATTGCCCTACCCCGCTCTTATGGTATAAATTATATTTGTGCAGGTCTTAAAAAAGGTCTTAAAAAGTCTTAAATTTGTACTTAAAAATCCTGCAGAAACCCTGTTATTTGTAGCCAAGTAGTCCTTACATGTACTGTATTTGTGCAGAACTGAGAGACGACTGTCTAGGGGAGGCAGAGAAGTCTTTTGTCAGAAGACTAAGAAACTGCTGTAACAAATAAGATCTCTTCACAGTAGTGTAACGAAAGTCAACTTTTCTTACATTTAATGCTGAATTTGATGGTATCTGCATCCCTCTATTTATGTCGTATACTGTAACAGACATCGACTAGTGTTTTGAATTGATCTCACTAGTGTTCTCTATGCAGGAAAATAGTCTGTGTATTTGACAGGTTTGTGTGTCATCTGAGGCCAAAGTTTGAGTCTGACAAAAGAGAACATGTTTTTGACTAAACTATTTGATTTTGAGCTGGAAGTTTGAAGTTTGCACAAGTTGGTGTGTAGTTTTGAGATTGTGTTTATAGTTGTGAGAAAATGGTCAATTGTTTCATGAATTGTGTGCTAGCAATCGAGAAAAACTGTAAGATGTTTTGTTTCTATGTTCATTATGTTTGAACTGAACTAACATACAGTATATGATCACAGATCCAGCAGAAACTGAAGCCTGTAGTTCTGCTGGATCATTATTCAGAGGTACGAGAGTTCATTAATGCTGAAACAGTCAATCTGCAGTGCTTTGTCAAGAACTGATCATCATTTTATACCTTTGATTTCATTTAGAAAGTCTTGATTCTGTTCATCTGTCCATCTTTCCTGCAGAGATTTTGATCATTCTTAAGACTGCAGTGTTTGCTGCTCCTACTGTGATTCTTCTTCAGATCATCTGTGCAAGAAGAGCTGGTGAGTTGTTCAGATGATTCACACTGATCTGGAACAATCTGCACTTATGAGAGCTCAGTAAATGCTTTTGTGTTGAATTATTTTGCAGGGAGGAAGGACTCACAGCACCCAGAGGAAATAGAGATTAATACAATATTAGTATAAAATACTCTACAAATAACAGGCCAGATTACAGCAAGATTTATCTTTATCTCAGTGAATTTTATGGATATTTGCGTATAGTTTTGAATTATATTTTCCAGTGCTCCATACTGTACTGAATACATCAAATATAATATGAAATCCTTACTTATTATATGAATGATTGTCTTTCCACCTACATCACATTCTGCAGCACATACGGCTTGACGGCGGTCCTTCTTGCATTGTTTCAATATAAAGCCATTTTATTCTTAACTGGATAATATTGGGTTTATTTTCAGATTTATGGATGAGAATATTTCATATTAAAAATATGACTTGTGTCCATGTAATTTTTCCCATATTAAAAAATGCACAACTTTTAAAAAAAAAGTATTTTTTTATTGCAGAACAACTACACTTGCATGTAAATATACACAGAGAATTTACAGTGTACTCACTATTACAATCATCACAGCGACAACAGAAATAAATCAAATAAATGATCCAGGGAACAGGGACGTGCAGAGAGTTCCTCAGGGGCAGCGGCTCAAATGTAAAATAGGCCAATGTAAAGAAAATTATAGGTCAAAAGTTCGGATACATTAATATTTTATATTTTTGCAAGAAGTCACATATGGTCATCAAGCCTGCATTTATTTGATCAAAATTTTAATATACTTTAAAATACATTTTATGCAATGCTGATTTATTATCAATGTTGGAAACCTGTGATACTTTTTCAGGATTCTTTGATAAATAAAAAGTAAAAAAAACAGAACAGCATTTATTTAAAATATAACTTTTGTAACAATATGCACTGATATTGTTAGAAAACATCTTATTTTGAATAAATGCTGCACTTTTTAACTTTTCATTTATCAATGAACCCCAAAAAGTATCACAGGTTACAAAAAATATAAATAAAAAATAAGCAGCACAACTCTTTCCAACATTGATAATAAATCAGCATATTAGAATGATTTCTGAAGATCATGTGACACTGAAGACTGGAGTAATGATGCTGAAAATACAGCTTTGATCACAGACATAAATGATATTTTAAAGTATATTCAAATAGAAAAACATACTATTAAATTGAGTACAATTTAATTATTCTTTTAAATGCAATTTTTTTCTGCATTTTTGTTCAAATAAATGAAGGCTTGATGTGCATAAGACACTTTCATAACGCTGCATAATTATCAGAAAAGGTAATATAATAAAGTCCTTTCACGTCACCATTTTGCACGCCTACACTTCACATAATCAGCCTGTAGGTGGCACTTAGCTTCATTAACTATGATAGTTTCATGAAATAGTAACAGTGTACCATACATAAATATAAGTGAATTGAATACTGATTACCAATATTGCGACTTTTGGCACTGCACGGTTTTGTGCAGTGCTTTTGTAGTTATTTAGCATCTATTTTCTCAGCGATGTAATTTGATTTATAAAATGAGACAAACCGCAGATCCAGATCGCTCCACAAATGTAAGCTCGCCTGTCCACTTGATTTTCAACTGATTTATGAATAAGAACGGAAAATGACCGCTCCACTTCTCATTATTGTCCAATGAAATGTGAACTTCTTGTGCCAGATCATGATTGGTTGGTGTATTATACATGAAAAACGGGCAATGATGAATTATGTAATATTCTAAAATAATTAAATCGACACACTAGCTGTGATTATTGATGAAAAAAAGTTTAAAATACGGTTTAATTTATTTTTTCCTTCCGGCGACCTGGTTTCTGAGCAGACTGTGGAATATCAGTCAGTCAAGCAAAACACACGCAACCATAGCAACGCCTCAGATTGACAGATATGTAAAAATAAAGAGGGATTTTCCGATTTTTGTGCTATTAATTACTGTTTTGTACACATTGTGATGTTAATTATAATTCAAATGCATTTTGTTTTATTGAACACAATATCATTGCTATTTGTCTGAGAGGGGCACTTTTGAATAATTTTGAAAAAGGGAAGCCCCCAAAGCCCCCCTTCTGCACGTGCCTACCAGGAAATGAGCAAACCTTAATAACAAGTGAAATGGTTTTAAGTATATTAGGGCTGTCATCGTTAACGTGTTAACGCATGCGATTAATTTTACAATCCTTAGCACATTAAAATAATTTAACGCAATTAACGCAAAATTACTAAATAACTATTTATATTCTAACACTTTAACCCAATTTTGCTTCTCTGCTTGCGATTAGGTCATTTTAAGCTGCTAAACTCCGGGAAAGTTTTCAGTCCAATGATCCAGTAAGCGAATGCGTTCAAACAATCCGTCCAAAACAGCGCCCTCACACGTCACACTCGCCGTGTGAAGTACAGACTGAACGGATTGTCAACACATCCCACCGCTGTATGGCCAGATGAGATGCAAACTACGGTTTCTCGACTGGATAACCATTCTCGCTAGTAAAGTTTTGATGGATGAAGACTGCAATCAAGGTAAAGACGATTGCGGTGGCGTACAGTAGGCTACAGTAAGCATGCGTGAGTCCATTATAATAATGCATGTATGAGTGCTCTTGATGCACTGATCGCACATTGTATTTATGCAAAGCACAGACATTTCCGTACATTCACGTTGTTTCCACACACATTCACGAATGTTTTGATTTGTCATGTTTATGTTGCTGTGTTTAGTAATATGGAATGGATCCGTGTACTGTAGATACAGTATATGCAGTCAGCAAGCGATTGGTTTATTTGCTGTTGCACTGTACACATACTATACAATTCAGATTTTTTTTTTCTTTCATATGTGCTTATATGGGCTCCTTATATCATTTGGTTCTTTGGTGCCATTTTGGAGTTTCTAAGTGTCCTTTTTTTGGAAAGACATCTAAATTTATCTTGAAAAAAGCTTACAGAAAATACAGATTTTTGAGAATCACCCTTCAATCTGGATATAGCAAATGAAGGCAAAATAAACATTTGAAACAAGTTAAATGGTCTATGCTTAATTTCATGAAGTGTGCGATTAATCGCAATTAATCACAGAAAAGGGGTG